TTCTGAACCACCACACAAATTTATCATTTAGGCATAAAGAGGCGGTTTATGCCCAATATCGCAGTCAGTCAGTAGGGGGAACTCTAAATATTTTGGCTGTTTCGATTTTGTTTGAGGATGCTGATCATCGTCAAGTTTCACATTTAAGGTCCTTTCACACCAGGACCTACGCAAATATACGACACGAAATCACGAAATATTCGGAGGTGAATTTTGATGCGCCTGACTATACACATCAAGCGCGTCACGATTTTGCGACTTGCCAGGTGGAGAAGACTGACCCAACAGCAGACTGACTGTTTTTCAATTCTGATTAGACACTAGTGTTGAGATGTCTGTCTGTCATGATAGCATGTACTGAGTCGGGGCCAGTACCAGATAAGGACATTAAACTATAATCCATAAACGTAAGTTAACAACCGAGACCTAACGGTGCTGTGACAGCAACGCTGTGATTGAGTTTGAGACAGTGAAAATACATATGGTATGTTGTATCTGAACAAGTTAGCTTATGAGCTAAAGTTACTTAGCACAGATAAAGTTAAAACAAAGACGTTTAGCAAACTGTTAAAGCACACAAACCATCGTCATATGAGAAATCCGACGCTATGACTCTCCACAAGTTGTCCTTCAGGTCGTTATCTTTGTAATGTTTGTGTCTTTTATCAAAAATCACTCTGTTCTCCGACACGTAAACAATCAGCTGCTCGGCCATGTTGGATAAACCGTGAATCTGACGTCGCAACAACACGAAATCTGATTGGTCAGAAGTGGACACACAGTATGTGAAACTTTAGAAAAATCGACTGTGATGCGAAAAAAAATGCCGCAATATCGCAGAACAGGAAAACGTCGCTGATGTGAACGCTTGTATTGACAGGATACGGGTTCAGAAAAAAAATACAGACGTCTGAAATAATCGCACAAAAAAAACGGTCCTGGTCTGTAAGGACCAATAGTCACAAACATTTCAGCTACTTTTCATAATGACTATGTCTTACTTTTCTAGGGTGATAATCTTTGTTAGTTTGCTGCATCAAATTCAAAACCACCTCAACCCCCCTCCACTGTTTCTTCTGTTTTAGGGCTGTTTTTTCTGCAGCCTTCATGTACCTCTATGTTTGCATTTCTCTATTTCGATTGTCAGAAGTGTAAATAAGTGGCCATTACTGCACAGATGAGTGTCCGTATGTTTGAGAGATGTGCAAAGGATTTTTACAGCTAAATCACTGTGGCACCCCTCTGCACTGTCAAGCCCATCAGTTATCTGGTGTTACAGGCAGTCAGGGTTAATCAATGTCACTACCCGCTCATTGGGAGCAGACAGCTCCTTCAGAACGTGGCTGCAGGTGCTTGTTATTGCCATGATGGTGTCATTGTGAATTTCCAGCCTCCGTGGCAGACTGTGGAGCCATATTAAACAGGAGCGTCTTTGCAGAATGCCTCTGACTCATCTGACATTTTCAGTCTGAACCCCAGTCCCCGTCTCTCCAGCCTGCAGCTCTATCTCCCTTCCTCCATCTCTCTATCCATCTTGCTCCGGCTTTCTGCTGTTCTAATTCAAGGTTAACACTTTTTAAACATCCATCACCCCCTTTTCCTTTTTTTTTTTTCTTCTTTACTTCTCGCTCATTCTGCTCTCAGACAATTTCTGTCACCATTTCCTCGTCTCTTTAAACATTCATCAGGTGAATTTCAATCAACAGGAGCTCTCATTGCTCCTCTGCGCTATAACAGGATGTGTTTAAAGCACAGGGTCAAAAATCGGTGTCAAAGACCGTCATTTCCTCCCTTCTTTTTCCTCACAGGACAGAAACAACAGCAGCACCAAAGAAACAATCACCCTTGCTCCAGTTTCTTTGGTGCTGCTGTTTGTTTCACTTGATTGAATTTTGAATGTAATTAGGAGTGACTCTGAGGCAGGGGCCGTGGGTTTATGGATAGCAAAATATCTCCCCTAGGAGCTCTTTGAAATAGGATTGACTTTGGAAAGCATGTCTAATTATGCTTATGTACACGGCTGTGCAGATACAGCTGCATTCGTGAAAGTCTCTGAGTTGCAACCCTGGTCAGAAAAAAAACACACACACACTCATGATGCTGAGCTGTGCAAGGATTTCAAGCTGCTTCCTGCAGGGCAGAGAATAATGAGATCTGAAATAACAGACTTTTCCTTTACACCATGTATTTGTTTTCTAAATATGCCTGCAGCCCACCACACAGGGAGCACATTTAAATTGGTAATGTGCATTCATGTCCATGTTGAACAAGTGCATACTGTCAGTAGCACGCTGAGAAAGAAAACACGTGTTCTGTGTTTATTGCACCTTCACCTCTCAGTGTGCTCTCTCGATTTTATAAGTTCAAGACCTGCAACCTGATCCCACAGGTCCCTACAGGCATTCAGATAAACATTTCACGCTGTATGTGGAAGCTTCGGTATCAGGTGTTTCTCTCCGCGCTTTTTAATGTGCAGCTGCCTGTGCACCAGGAGGTGTGGGGATTAAAAAATAACCTTTAGCTTCCATTAGCAAATATATCACATCAGTGTCAGTGAGGCTAAGTCTCTTAATGCCGGGATGTTAATGTGTGTGATCCTTTTTGAGTTAGCCGAGTGTTTCAAATGGAATCTGTGTCGATATTGATTATTTTACTGAACGTTGTTGGGATAACTGCCCACAAAGAGCCCAATCGTAGAAAACTGAAGAAGCTGATCTGTTGAAAAATATATATATATTTTGTTCTTTTGGTAAATTGATATGAATTTAAAGATCTGGTTTTGCTGAATTTTTGACAGCTCTTTGTCAAATTAGAGTATAGATATAAACAAATCTTCTAAACAGATCTTCTCAGAAATATATGGTAAAATAAAACTCGCCGACTAAATGAATAAGTAAATGTGACATATCTTGCTTTCTTAGACTTTTGTACAGCGTTTAGTCAAAACATATTCAGATGAGTGTTTTTGACCTGTGATACCGTCTAGACTCCTACTTCTACGCTTTGATTTTTTAGCTTATACTCCACTTCAACCTTCAATAGTTTCTTGTTGGTGCAGAGTGAGGACTGCACTTCAATCAGGCTTTGATAATCCCACCAGCAGACAAGAGGTTTGTTTGTTCTTCTATTGCAGCTCACCAATAGTTTCAGCATTGTGCTCTGAGGAGGTGCTTGATCCTCCCACCACTATTGTATGAGGGGTAACTGATGCCAGAGAGAGAGCCAAATAGAGAGGAAGGATATCTTGGAAAAGCTCACACAGAATCGGAAAATCACGCTGAACTGAAGTATGACTTAAGAGTTTCTCCAACTCTGTGATTTTTTTCTGTTTAAAGATCATATGTAGTGTTCAGTTAAAGCTCCAGTGAGGAGTTTTTTTTTAGGTAAATGACTGAAATAGGGTGACCATATTCTGACTTCCCAAAAAGAGGACACGACTAATTTTGGTTAATTTTGAGAGCTTTTCGGGTTGGATTGAGTGTCTTTTACACAGTTCTGACTCAGTAAGTCCACGTGACAAAAACTCGAAACTTGCGTACAAAACTGCAAACATTTGAAGGATTTTATAAACTTCCCAGAACACAGCCAGACAAACCTGGACAGCCCCCAAAAAAGAGGACATGTCCGGGTAAAAGAGGATATATGGTCACCCTAACTGAAATTCATATTGACGCCTTTTTATGATAAAGTATATTAAACAAGATCATCAGCTCTTATGTTGTAGTTTTTATTTCTACGACAGTTGAAAGTCAGCAGTGTGAGAGGACACCAAGCGAAGAGTGCTGTGTCCACAGGAGGGCGCCAAAATTGACATAAGCTGAGTGTCACACATTAGCCTTCAGTTTGGGTAAATTGGACTGTTGTGGATGTTTACTTCTAAATTATTGGCATACTGGTAATGCAGTTTAATTCTTTCACTGCCCTGGCTACTGTTAACAGTGGTCTTGAAGCCATCTCCTGTTGTTTCCAGTTCCAGTTACATTCCTGTTACACTGGTCCGAGGCTGTGAGGCCAAAGGGCTGCTGGCGTCCCTTCACATAGTTCTGACTAATCACAGCTTGGCAGCGGTATTATTGTAGCCTCATCTGCACTTGGTTGCACCAACAATAGTTCAAACATCATTGCTAATTTAGGACTCTGCCTATACTTGAAGGGGCTGAACTGACACTGCAGAGACTAGGGTATTTTATGTAACATGTGCCACAATAAAAGGCAAAATTTACCTGTTCAACAAAAACTCTGCTATTTTGTGGTCTGTTTTCAGGTGGAGCTTTCTCCACCGCTTGAACAACCGCTCGAAAATTCCAGTTAGATTCCTCGCTTGGTCACATTTCCTCTTTGTCTCCACCCTTTCTTCTGTCGGCTTGCGTTTTCTTAGCACTTTTGGCGGCGGGCAAGTAGAGGTGCGTCCTTCTCCATCACAGCGGCCGTTGCTAAGCTGCTCTGCTACTTTTAGCTGCTCAGAGCTTCAAGGAGGGCCGAGAGAGTGTGAGGGGATGAGTCCGAACTACGGGAGAGGGGTGTGTTAAATACTTCGCGGAGATCGCACTATAGGACCATGAACGCCATATAAACGAGGTTCATAATAATTACCAATCTCTACAATCGTCAACCATGCCTTTAATGTGAAAGGCAAACACTTGTTGCTGATGGATGCTGCTCTTAAAATGCTGCTCTTAAAATTAAAAGTTATTAGGAGGTTCAAGTTTTCCATGATTGACACTTGATACAGCCTATAGGCGTACTAAGATTGCATAGCTCACCTGGGGGGCTACGCTGTTTGAGTCGAGTGTCATCACAGCGACTCTCCCGCTGAATACGTACAACGCTATTGCGCAATGTTGGTTTCAGGGAATAAAGAAAATTTGTGGAAATACCGAGAACTTTTTGGCTTCAAATCCATATACAGGCAGGAGGAGGAACCAGGTTGTCCATAGTATATACAGTCTATGTTTGTACACAAGAAACCCTCCTATAAGGTCAGCAGGTCTCATTACGCAGGGCTCTTTTGTGCTCCTCCTGCCTCCGCCTCTGAGCGGCACTGATCGCCCCTCATACAGAGGCAGGTGCTCCGTACACGCTGCTCCTGCCAGCGGAGAGGCAGGCGGATGCAGCGGTGGCTCGTATTTCTGTTGACTTTCACATTATGTTGTCGCTGTCGCGGTTTGTCTCCCACCTCCTGGCCTCTCGCCATCTCTCTCGCCGTCTGAACGATCGGACCGACCGAAGCTTGGTGTCCGGACTGTGAGAGCAGCCCACCGGATCGGTGCATGCGCTGAGGGCGCTCTGAAAACCTCCATCCCTGCCTGACGGAGAGCCGACGGGTAAGCAGAGTTTGAAATCTGATGGAGGCAGTTTGTGGGGGAAATTGTTTCTTTTCCAGCAACAGGGGTCTTCAAATCTCATTTCAAGTGTCTCTCATTATGAGTTTAAAAGGCTTTTATTTGCAGCTTTGGTGAACAGTTTGATGATGTAAGGTGGGTGAAATTACGCGCTCACTGCCACACATGGGAGAAGACGCGTCGATGTCAGGTGTAAGAGGGGTCGCGGACATTCGGCCGTTGTCACGTATTTCACTTTATTGTGAGCTGTTCTGGACACCCAAACTTGGGAACGCACGCACATCTATAGTGTCACGCGCATGAGGACGAGTAGCGCGTGCGCATCAGGGCAGGTCTCATTCAAGGTTCAGTCATACATTTTTAACTTGAGGAGTCATTCACCTAAAAGCTTCACATTTTCACACACTGACAGAAACAAAGGTGTCACACCTTTTTAAAAATGAAACAACAGACGTAAATATTTATAATTTTGAACAGTTTGGTTAACAGGAGTCAGGAAGGCCTGGTTAGTTTAGGACATAGTAAAGTACTTAGAAGCTGCCTTTAATGATTTTAATTTGATGTATTTGTTGTAATCGCACCACTATTTTAATCAAAAATACCAAAAGATAGTGTTGAATGTCAATTTCCTCCTTTTATCTGCCCAACGGGTTAAATATCTTACATTGTGCTGTTAGACACAAAAGCAAGTTTCACTCGTAAGAAGTAGAGTTTGGCCTCTTTGGCATAAAACGCTCTAAAACTATTGATGAGCTCTCAAAAGAGTTGCAAATTAATCTTTAATTGACTAAAATTTACAGCCTTATTTGGCATTCAACGCTTGTAGCTGTAGTTATAAGTAATGATGAGTCTGCCTCATTAGATTTTGAGCTGCATGTCATTTCTTTCATTGTTTGAAAGCACAGCGGATGAAGGCAGTCACAGTTAGTCCCTAAAATGTGACTTTCTTTGCATTAATGAGGTGTTCAAATACACACCAGAGGCTTTTTGTGTGAATTTGTTTGAAAACCAACAAGAAAAGCGGGAACACTTGTACGCCAGCCGCACATGCACGCTACTTGTCTCACACTACATGACACGTGGCATTGTCTCAAGCTGTTCGTGTGGGTTTGCAGGTGTCTGAGAGACAAGCACAGGTGTAACATAGTGTGCACAGCGAGCGGCACACATCACTGCTGCTGGTGCAGAAAGGTGTCAAAGCTGAACCCTTTCTTCGTGCGGACTTTGACTCTCCATCTTTTGAACCCTTTGCAGCAGACTTTAAAGGCTCCTCATGTCTTTGTGGCTTCACAGCTGCACCACAGTGTGTTTTGTTGAATGTAGAAGCTGTGCCCTTCCTCCTCAAAGACCCACCCTTGTCATTTCTCCCATTTTCTCCTGATTATTATCTGGACTGTCAGCCGCAGCAGAGTCACTTTCATGGATCACTCAGACTGAATAAATTGATTGCTTTTGATTTAGAGGCGATGCTGTAAGCCATGTGTCTGCTCACACCTTTACCCATTTCAGTGACTCCATTCATCTTATTCTGAGCTGTGAGGGAGTGTCAGTGAGGAGTTTTACATTCACCAAGTCCAAGTCCCAAGGCTTAGATCCAGGTGTCACAGAGGTTTCACCACTAGATGAGCCCGCTGATGGCTTTCCAGCAGGTGGGTCACGTTTCCAATTTGTGTTGGCGGAGGTGGAACCAGACCCCTGAGGAATCCTGTCGCAGATGGAGGGAGTTTTAGAAGAGATTTGTGAGGTGAGACCACCTGTTGACAGGCCCACCCTGATGATTTAGTGAGGGGCTCTTGAAGAAATAATTCAGGACCTGATTTGACTCAGATCATTTGTAATATCAAAGTGGTCAGTGTTCACATTTTTATTGAATTTGACTGACAAGAAACTGCAGCATCCTCCAACATTATAGAAGATTTTTTTCATAGTGACATCCTCTGCATAATTTCTCCTCCTCCTCCGCTCTCTGCAGCCGCTCTCCTGCCCTGCTCGGGGTAAAAATAACCGAGTGGACGGAGCAAATCTCAGCAAAGCCCAGTGCTGTGGTACATCAGAGGAGCAGGGATTATTTGGTTTTGTTATCTTCTTCATCTGCGTTCATGTGGCTGCTGTTGTCTTATACTGTGGTCAGCAGGTTGCCACAGCAACAGAGCGTGTTCTTACTTCATCTGATGGTACATATGTATTTATATATAGCAGTGAGGTAATGCATAAACTGTGCAGCCCACTGACAGAGAAAGAGAGTTCTCTCTTCGGTGGTTCACTTTTTCAGTTTTGGAAAGATGTCATGGTTATTTTTGGACTGGTACAGATTCTGAATCACTGAGTGTAGTGATTCACAGAAGTCTCAGTGTGTTAACACTGATGTAAAAACAAATCCTTTTATTTTTGAGTCAACACTGGAGACATGAAACCATCAGTGATGAAACTTTTACATGAACAAAATACCAAAAATACAAAGGTTTGACCGTTTAGTCATAGTCGTGCATTTCTGGAGAAAAAATTTGAAATTACCGTCCTAAAATACTTTTGTGGTGTTTTTAAAGCTCTAGTAAGGGGTTTTTGAACAGTCATGAAACAGACTACAATTAACAGTGATGCCTCTGTTTGACTTCCTAAAGCAAGACCACCAGCAAGAAGATAGACAGCTTCCACTTTTTATTTGTAATGATTTTAACCTCTGTGAGGGTGTGGGTGACAGTCAGAGATAATTAATAACATGCTGAAGAAACCCCCATCTTTGATCAAAGTGGTAGCCTCATAAATACCCATGTTAACAGCAAATTAAACATGTTCATGAACATTTGTTTAGAGGTACTACAGTTAAGTTTTGCATAATTAAAGGTACATCATAATTGTTTGAGAGGACGCTTAAGGTCCACCTCACTCTGGCTCTTTGCTCCATGCTGGGTTGACTGCAGCTCAGGTTTAGTCAAAATTTCAGACAAACTTTAAAAATACTAAAAACATAAACTGTATCTCCACATCCTAAAGAATTTCAAAGCACATCTCCAACCAAAAGGGTAACTGAAGGATGATTTATTTGACGTCACATTAGAGGGAGAAAAAGGAAGCAACTTCTTACGATGTGCACCTTTTGATTTGGTTTGATCCAAAAGAGAATTGCCTATTTGGACTGGACTTTCTATTTTAAAGCAACAATGAATTTATTACAATCAAAGGTAACAGCCTGTTTCATGCAGGTAGGGGTTACCTCATAAAGAGTATAGAAGATGACAACTGACATTTGCATGTGAACCCTCTGTTATATAACATTTTTAAGAACCTTTAGTTAGTGAAACAGAGTAATATCTACTAAAACTGTAGAGACAGTTAATTATTAAAGCTGTAGTAAGCGAGTTTGTTCACCGCACACCTCTGCCAAAAGTCAGCAGTACATTGGAAGCGTGGTTTTGCTTTTCTGACTTCTCAGATATTACACAGACTTTGTACTTTTAGGAGGTCAGTTTGGACATTACTGTTCTCTCAGTAGACTTTAGTTAGGTTCAGGGTTGCAGTGCATGTGTGAATGAAGCTTGAGAGAGAGAGGGTGGATTTTTTGGCTGTGCTCTACAAATGCCAATGTGTGTGCACAATGAAAGTGGGAGGTTGATTTAGAGGATGTTTTTTTTTTTTTTGTACTGGCAGCGCCCACTTAACTCAATTTTGGAGCGCCTCTCACTGGTGCTAGGTTACAAAAGTTGTCCTCTGACACTTTAGCTTCCTTCATCAGTGATTTCTAAATCTGTTTTTAAATACTGTGTGTACTTTGGTTTCACTTTTACTCTCTGATGTTTTAAAAAAGAAAACAAGAACAATTGAAATTGTGGTTGCTGGTAAACTACCTTAGTAGTCACAGCTGCCCAGGGGCAGACTGACGGAAACATGGTTTGCGCCTATGGCCTCTCTGACCACCACCACACAACACTCACAATCATACACCAGTGGAGGACACATGCTGGGAGCAAGGTGGGTTAAGAGTCTTGACCAAGGACACAACAGACAGACTCCACAGGATGGGGGGAATCGAACCGCCAACCTTCCAGTTATTCGACAACTGCTGTATCTCCTGAGCTGCTTCTACTGATGTAAATGTCATAGTGTAGTATGATAAAAAAAAGTGAAAAATAAAAATTTGGTATGAAGGAAAATGTCATAGTATGTTATGTTTCAAATGTCATAGTATAGTATGTTACAAAAAATTGAAAATTAGGTAAAAAAAAATGTCAGTATAGAATGATGAAAAAAAATTGAAATTTTGATATGAACTAAAACGTCATAGTATAGTATGTTAAAAAATGTCAAAGTATAGTATAATAAAAAAGTCAGTATAGTATGATGAAAAAAAGGAAATTTTAGTATGAACGACAAAGGTCATAGTACAGTATGATAAAAAATATAGTATAGTATGATGAAAAATTTTATAGTATGATAAAATAATTGAAATTTTGATATGAACAAAAACATCATAGTACAGCATGTTAAAAAATGTCATAGTATAGTGTGATAAAAAAAACGTCATAGTATAGTATGTTAAAAAATGTCACTGTATAGTATGATAAAAAAAGTTATAGTATAGTTTGATAAAAAAATTTAAACTTAAGTATGAAAAAGATGTCAAAGTAAAGTATGTCAAAAATATAGTATAGTTTGATAAAAATGTAAAATAATAGTATGATAAAAAAAATTGAAATTTTTGTATGAAAAAAATGTCAAAGTATAGTATGTTTAAAAATGTCTAAGCATAGTATGTAAAAAAAAATGAAATTTTGGTATGAACAAAAACGTCATAGCATAGTATGTTTAAAAAGTTTAAACTTAGTAACGAAAAAAATGCGACAGTAAAGTATGATGGAAAAAATATAATATAGTGTGATAAAAGAAATTGTAATTTTAGTATGAACAACAAAGGTCATAGTATAGTATGTTAAAAAAATGTCATAGTATAGAATGATTTAAAAAAAATGATATTTTGGTATGAACAAAAAAAATCATAGTATAGTATGTTAATGATGTAGTACAGTATGATAGACAAAATTGTCATTGTATAGTATGATAAAACAATTAAAAATTAGGTTAAAAAAAATGTCAGTATAGTATGATAAGAAAATGTCAGTATAGTATGATAAAAAAAAATTGAAATTTTGGTATGAACAAAAACATCATAGTACAGTATGATAAGAAAATGTCATAGTATAGAATGATAGAAAAAAATGAACATTTTGGTATGAACAAAAACGTCATAGTATAGTATGCTAAAAAATGTCATAGTAGAGTATGATAAAAAAAATGTCATAGTATCATTTGATAAAAAAAACTGAAATTTTAGTATGAACAACAAAGCTCATAGAATAGTATGATAGAAAATGTCATAGTATAGTATGATAAAAAAAATTGAAATTTTGGTATGAACAAAAACATAGTACAGTATGATAAGAAAATGTCATAGTATAGAATGATAAAAAAATGAAAATTTTGGTATGAACAAAAACGTCATAGTATAGTATGCTAAAAAATGTCATAGTAGAGTATGATAAAAAAAACTGAAATTTTAGTATGAACAACAAAGCTCATAGTATAGTATGATAGAAAATGTCATAGTATAGTATGATAAAAAAAATGAACATTTTGGTATGAACAAAAACGTCATAGTATAGTATGCTAAAAAATGTCATAGTAGAGTATGATAAAAAAAATGTCATAGTATCATTTGATAAAAAAAATGACATTTTAGTATGAACAACAAAGCTCATAGTATAGTATAATAGAAAATGTCATAGTATAGTATGATAAAAAGAATTGAAATTTTGGTATGAACAAAAACATCATAGTACAGTATGTTAAAAAATGTCATAGTATAGTATGATAAAAAAGTCAAAGTTTAATATGATAAAAAAAAATGTAAGAGTATAGTATGTTTAGAATTGTCAGTGTAAAGTATGTTGAAAAAAATCTAAATTTTAGTATAAACAAAAACATCACAGTATAGTATATAAAAATGTAGTAGTACAGTATGTTAAAAAATCTCATAGTATAGTATGATAAAAAAATGAAAATTTTGGTATGAACAAAAACGTCATAGTACAGTATGATAAAAAATATAATGGTATAATATGATAAAAAAAAATTAAAAATTAGGTACAAAAAATGTATGAACATAGTATGATAAAAAATGTCATAGTATAGATTGATAAATAATGTCATAATATAGTATGATAAAAAATGAAATTTTGGTATGAACAAAAACGTCATAGTACAGTATGATAAGAAAATATCATAGTATAGTATGATGAAAAAAATTAAAAATTAGGTACAAAAAAATGTCATCGTATAGTATGATAAAGAAAAAAGTCAGAGTAAAGAATGATAACAAAAATTGAAATTTAGGTATGAAAAAAACTTAGTACAGTATATTAAAAAATGTCATAGTATAGCATGATAAAAAAAGTCATAGATAAGTATGAAAAAAATGTCATGTTATAGTATGCTTAAAAATGTCATAGTAAAGTATGTTGAAAAAATAAAAAATTTTGGTATAAACAAAAAAGTCATCGTATAGTATGTTAAAAAATGTCTTAGTACAGTATGATAAACTATGTCATAGTATAGTATTTTCAAAATGAATCAAAATTTTGTTATGAAAAAAAATGTCATAGTGTAGTCTGATAAAAAAAAAGTCATAGTATAGTTTGATAAAAAAAACTAAAATTTAGGTAAAAGAAAAATGACATTGTATAGTATGAAACAAAAAAGTCATAGTATGGTATGAAAAAAAATTTAAATTTAGGTACAGATAATGGAATAGTATAGTATGTTAAAAAATCTCATCATATAGTATGTTAAAAAAATGTCATAGCATAGTATGAAAAAAAATTAATTTAGATGCCAAAAAAAATGTCATAATATAGTATGATCATAAAACGTCATAGTATAGTATGATAAAAAATGTCATCGTATAGTATGCTTAAAAAAAATGAAATTTGTTTATAAATAACATTGTATTTATGTGTGTCTTTGTAACCACAGTTTAAAAGGATGGAGTCATGCGTGTTTTATGAGTTTGATCACAAAGCTGCCACCATGGAGGTGTATTTAGATTAATGTCTTGTCTTCAGTGATTTATAAGAATACCAGTATTCATAAGTTTCTGTGTCTGCACCCCCCTCTCAGGCTGCAGCAGGTGAATGTGTGTTGTGATTTCTCCAGGTTGAATTCCGGTTGAAAGCAGTTGACCCGTGCGCCTTGTTAACCAGACTGTAGAAGAAAATGAAAGAAAAAGCGCTGCCGGCCAGACCGGTGCACAGGGCGTGGATGACGCACAACAAGTGCAACAGTGTGTGCAGCAGCAGCAGCAGCGCCCGGAGCTGTGGGCTCCCTGCTGATAACTGAAGTATTAACACAGGAGGCTATTTCTACCGCACAACACTGCCAGGAATTACACGTAATGAATCCAATAGTTCATTTTTTCTTTTATGATCTTCATTGTGCTTCTTCATGTTCACGTTACACCCCAAAAACACGACCAAGGAGGATCATTTTCATCTTCCTTTCTGCTGAAAGTGGAATTAAATTGATATATTTTACAACATTTAGCGCCCAAACGGAGTTAATTATCAGCACAATTTGGTATAATGGTGCAGAATATAATTACTTTCCACCCTGCAGTTCGGTGCAATCTAAAGCCACAGAACAGCAGCGGTAGCCAGAGAGACGAGAGATGTAATCTGTATGTGAGGGCTGTGGATGGATGAACATGAGATGAGGTGAACGTTCGCCTCCAGGGGGTCCGAGCTCACATGGCAGAGGGAGGCACGTCTCAGTGTGCTGCACCGAGGCCGTTCCACCTGAATGTGGAGGAATATACAGCAGAGGGAGGCTGGTCTCTCAGATATGAATACGCTGCATGAGTAGATTCATGAAAACCCATCTGATGCAATTATCAGGGGTGAATTTTCAGATGTGCAGTCACTGTTTTTTAAGTAAACCTGCTATCGTAGCCGATGTTGAATTGTTTTGCCTGATTTTTTTTAACAGCAGAATAACATTTCCAGGAAACAGCTCTCCCTGCACAGTGTCAGAGTATTTTAACACTGTTGTTTATGCGTCTCTGCAGCACAATGACGTCCAAAAGGAAATGGTGTTTTTGGCACTCTTGTTTTTGTAAACAGCAGTGGTCTTACTTGTCCTTGTGATGTGTTTGTGTGTTTGTCAGCCCACACTTAAATAGAAAACGGTCTGAAAAATGAAATCTGTTTGTGTGTTTCAGGAGCTGTCTGCCTGGAGTTGCTGCATGACTATGACTTAAAGCTCTTGGAGATTAAAAAAGAGAGAAAATTGTCATCCATCTTGAACACGTCTTGATTCCATGATGGGTTCCCGCAGCCAAGGTTTCTTCCACCACCACCACCATCACCACCACCGTAGCTCCATGTTACCTGCTACGGTGCCCAGGCTCCTGCCAGAGAGCAGCAGCCTGCTGGGGGGCATCGCACAAATAACCCCGAACCTCTTCCTCAGCAGGGGAAATGTGGCGTCCAACCGCAGCCTGCTGCTGTCCAAAGGCATCACCTGCGTGGTCAACGCCACCATCGAGCTCCCTAACTTCAACTGGCCCCACATGGAGTACGTGAAGGTCCCTCTGGCGGACATGCCACACTCCCCCATCTCCTTGTACTTCGACAGTGTGGCGGATAAGATCCACAGCGTAGGAAGAAAGCGAGGGGCGGTGCTGGTGCACTGTGCAGCAGGGGTGAGCCGCTCCGCCTCCCTGTGTCTGGCTTACCTCATGAAGTATCACCGCGTGTCTCTGGCAGAGGCCCACGCCTGGGTCAAAGCCCGGCGCCCCGTCATTAGGCCAAACGGCGGCTTCTGGCGCCAGCTCATCGAGTACGAGAGGAAGCTGTTTGGTAGGAACTCTGTGAAGATGGTGCAGACGCCATACGGGATCATACCAGATGTTTACGACAGGGACCGCAGGAGTCTGGCCCCGTACTGGGGTCTGTGAGGGGTAAACGTCCACTGTGAGGGGTTGTAACGTTAAGAGGAGCCCTCTGCTGCTCTGGACTGCAGGTTCATGTGTGTTCAGAACAGGCAAAGTGTGAGTGTACATGTGTGTGAAGCTTATTTAACGGTATGTTTGGACGGGAGGAGTCGCTGGGAACACTGGTTTTCGATGATGGTTGTTGATCTGTACAACCAGTTGCCTCCGTTTAGTGTTTGAGTGGGAGCAAGGCAACTTCCAGTCCAGAACCCTTCGGACCAAAGGATCCATCGGGACCACAATGATGTCAGACACCAAAAAAAAAAAAATTTAAAAAAAGATTGAGGAGGTCGGTGCTGTCTATTTCCTGGTCTGTCTTCAGTTCCAGTGGAGGACAGCAGGTGATCTATGTCGGTGTCAGCTGTGAGACTCTGCGACTCTGACAGCAGAGATGTGACTGAAGTCCTTTTCCTGGCGTGGTGTCATGTGGTGGTTTTGTGCAAGTTTTGCAGTAGTCTTTAGTGTGAAGGGCAGCAGCATGCTCTGAATTTATGGTAGCATTTAAGATAAATGTACAGAAAAAATATATACAGACAAATTATTTTATGGGGATGTCTTGATAGTGAAGAAAATGTTTCTGAGACAGTTTAACTTTAAAGATGTTAGTATATCGACCTTTTCAAAGGTGAGGGTCTAGAAGATGTAAACAGAGAGTCAAGGTGAAAGTTCCTGTGTACCACAGGGTTGACTGTTCCATCCTGTGACCACACTATGTTATTGTAGTGATATTTGATGCTCTATTAAAATCATATCTGCTGCCTCATGGGAACTGGTAGCTCAATTATCAAAGTTTGGAAGGATATCTTTATTTCTTTGTTTTTCTTCTTGTGGGTTGGAAAGTTAAGACAGCGCAAATACAACCATCTAAATGTTACTGTTTTGTAGAAATTTAATGCTCATGTTAACTTTGATGTCAGCAACACATTTCAGAAAAGTGAAGGAGAGGAGCGCTCAGTTGACATGATGTTGAATTTCATTCGACAGATGACAGGTCAGTTTTGACTAGAAGTGACTTTCCACTAGAGTCTTGTCTGTTTAAGGCAGTTCTACCTAAGGAGCACGGAGGTCACACCCATAAAGTATTGGTTTTTGGCTCCAAATGATATTTAAAGATGTAAATGAGATTTTCTCTAAAACTATATTTCATTTTCATTCAGCCTTTTCCCATTTTAACTTATTTTTATACTTAATCATTTAACTAACTGGTTGCAGATTAATCTGATAAGTAGAGAGAAGTTCTTTTTAGAATCAATCAGATTTTCATTGATTTTGGTTTTTGAAACTTGTTGCTGGCATTAATTTTACAATGGGTACTAATTTTTTATTAAACAATGTCTTAGTATGTTGTCTACACAAAAGTTTCAGTTTTAATGAATGACAAACCACCAAAATCTTTGTTTTTTAGCATGAAACACAGAATCCCAACATTTTTGGAATTGAGGTTTTACATCATTCGATTATAATCCTAGCTACCAACTTCAGATTCAAAGATGTTGATAACAAGCATTGACATTGAGAGGATTTTATCAGTTTGAAAATAGTTAAGTTTTGCAGCTAAAACCATTTCCTTAAATTTGTTGGCTGGTCTTCTCACCAGCCTTCTTGCAGGTCAGATGAACATCAAAGTCAATATTTTCATCTAAAGTTTGTGGTTAAAGTAAAGCCTAAACGTAAACCTGCTTTAAAGTTTTAAATGATATTGAACTTAAAACATATTCACAGGAAAGTCTCAGCATTAGTATTTTGGACAGATGTAGAAAACAACAACAGCACCTGTTAAAGATTCACTTCTTCCCTGTAACTTTTTCTTGTTCCTCGGGTTCAGCCTTTTCTCTCTATCATTGCTAAAGATCGTACCGTGAGGCGTTGGTTTTTCTTCACTTTTGTAGAAGTCTCTTTCACTCAGCTCCCTGAGTTTTAGTGATATCCCTCCCTTATTTTCTCTTTTCTTTTCTTGATCAACCATTAACCGCTAATCTAAAGTTGTAAGTATCACAAATATGTTAAAGGTAAAATCAGTAAATCACTCAGTCTTGTCTATAGTCTAAATCTAAAGTATTTCTTGCCCCACAACATTTGTGTTAATTTAAGTTAAAAAGGAGATAATAGTCTACTGCTGTGTCCCAAAAAAAAGCACAGCTTACACAAATTTTAGGCTCTCACTGGAGCCAAACACGACATTTTTCTGTAAGGAGGAAACTTCTCTAAATCGTTTTTCTTTCCCAGGGATCTCTGCCATGTTTTCACATGAACAGACTGCAGCGTTTCCGTTTTAAAAGGCCTCTTTGTGCTCGCTCGGCGCAGACATTTTACCCCAAGGGATGTCTTCAAGATGTCAAAGAAGCGCTCTGTCATTCATTTTCATTTGCTGTGACTACAGAGCAGCAGGCAGATATTGATGAGCGCCATTCGTCTTGTGCCCACACTTCTGAGGGACCTCCAGAGTGGTCTCACAATGAATTCCATTACGCAGAAAGAGACGAGGCCCGTCTGATGACAGGCAGACCAGCGCCGACATGCAGAAGTGATGGGCCTAAATTATAGACTGCAAACACTATTTTCAAAAGGCAGGAGAAATGAAATTCATCTTTTTCTCCTCCCCCAGCCCCCTCCTCTGACTCTGCTCTTTTAATGTGAGTACATGCCTGATATTTTCAGGGAACAGTCAAGCGCCAAACATAAACATATCCTTCACCAGCAGCAGGATATTATCATCTGTCATTAAAGCAGTAAGCAGAAACATTTGCATCATCCTGAGCATCAGGGGCGGGCAGAGCTCCAGCTCCGCAGGCCAAGCAGAACGATTAATGCTGATGAAGTCTGAGGCCGTGAAAATCAGATGGCGGCGGCTCAACGGGACGTGTCCGACCCAGGTGAGAAGAACACGCTGCGTTTTAATGACTGAGTTATTTTTGGAGAATGTCAGAAATAAGTGAAAGGCTCTTCTTGTTACATGTCTGAAACATTATCATACCCAAACGGGAACTGAAAATGAATGGTTACCACTTTCCAATTAAAAAACTTTAACTTACTCATGTCAGGAGCCGAACACAAGTTAAATTTAGCTAAATCATAAGCACATGTCATTTATTGACACCAGAACAGACATCATTTAGCATTAAACCTCTATATCTGATCACTGTTTGGACACTAGCTGCGACAAAGACAGACTATTTATAAAATGGACGCTGTCTTCCTCCTCGATGAGTGAAGCCACTCCAAGAACAGCACCCTCTGTTGACGGGCTGCAGTATAGGTCATAAATCCCGCCTCCGCCAGCAAAGCTTATGGACAAATTTTAGAAATTTATTACACAAAGCATAATCCCCCCCCCCTGCTTCTGATGTTGACATGTAGTTACTGTAAGACTGGTTTGTGCTCAAGTCCTCTTTTTTCTGCGCAGCTCAATTTTTAAAAGTTATTAGAGGGGTTCGTGTTTTCTACGATTGACACTTGATACAGCCTATGGGCGTACGAAGATTGCCGTTTGAGCCGAGCATCATCACAGCGACTCTTGGCGACTCTCCCGCCAAATGTGTACAACGCTACTGCACAATGTTGGTTTCAGGAAGTGGAGAAAAAATGTGGAATTACCGAGAGATTTTTGGCTTCAAATCTGTAAACTTGCGGAAGGCGGAACCAAGTTGTCCATAGTATATACAGTCTATGGTGACAAACCAGAGAGTTAACAAGTTTACAATGAATAATTACATGTTGCTACAAGTCAACATAAGTGTGCAAAGGACAAGATATGCAAAGACTGCTTTGTCCACAGGAGGCGCCAAAGTTGACAAAAACTCAAAGTTCCTTATAGGAGCTTTAAGATGTACTGTATGGAGTTAACATAATGAAACTTATTACTACAATGCATACTACCATTCTTCTATTCAATTGTACGAGAAACTGAATTAACACAAAGTTCAATACATAAAAATTTGTTGTTTGATTCCACCGTCTGATTTTGGGTTGACATACTTTTCTTCATATATTAGGATGAATTTGTAAAATCAGTATTTCCTAAGTTCTCCCTACGACGTTATTTACTTCGACCACATGCAGCAAACATGAACATCTGCTGTAGCTGCGATGGTTTTCTGAATCATGGCCTCTCTGGGCCTCAAATTACACAACCTTTAATAAATCACTTCATCAGCGTGAGCCGCGGCTCTGTATCAATACATGTTTATCTTGAATTTCCATTTTAACAAAGCCATATGCAGAAGGTCTGTCATTAATGAAAACATGCTGCTTTCACTGCTGCTCCAATTTCAGGCTCGCCACCCTCGTTATAGCCCTAATTTGACAACCTGATTTAGCCACGCAGCGACACATGCTTCAGCTGTTGGATGGGATTCAGATTATACATCAACTGCAAACAAACAAACAGCACGGAGGAAGTTTGTTTAAGTCCCAGAGGACAGATTTTTATGCTTTTGGCGTGTCATGTTCCAGTAATCAAGCTGTGAAATTAAAGTAGTAAATTAAAGTATCCACAACTAAGAGTAAAGAACAGCAGGAGACCTTGGCTGTAGTGAAACAAGTCGTCCTTCCACAGTGAGCAGCTGTACGAGCGTGACGTCTCTGGGGTGTTAAAAGTGACTCATCCGGCCCTTGCATTTAAAGCTTCAGCAGTCTGAAGTGATTGATGGAGTGGACTAAGAGGCAAAGACTAAGAGCCACTGAGCCGCATTCAATTTGGACAGAGGATTTCAACAATAGGAAAGACTCGTATTTGTGTCTGTGTAATAAATGATGAAACTCAGGTATCATAAATCTACAAAATGTGTCAGCTGCCTTTAGTCTCACTGACCAGGTTAAGATTAAGGCGAGAATTAATGTTGACAGATTAATGTGTTGGTATTCTGCAATTCACCAATAAGTTTCTGACGGCACAGCACAGTGAAACCAAAGCAATTAGAGCTCCCCCTGGTGGTAGACAGCAAAATAGGTGCTGAATAAGTCCACCATTGTGACAAAGGAGCATGGGCCAAGACAGAAAATTAAACTCTTGAAAATGCTGCTGCAGCTAATAAGACATTTTACCAATGCAAGAGTGAGAGAGACTTTACTTACATGAGTAGGGGTGCGCGACATGGGAAAAATCTCACATCCTACTTTTTATGGCAAAGTTATGGTCACTCTCTCCCAAGTTAGTGACCCGTACATTCAAACTAATTTCCCTATTCAAGCCAACACATAACAGAGTCTAAACGCTTGACTCTGTAGCAATCAAGACAACCCTGGATGTGAAACCCACACATTCCTTACAGGAAAGTTTCCTTATCTGGTCCCAGGAAACAGGATATAAATCTTTCCAGACGTGTTTGCACTTTCAGGTTAAATAAGTGACCCAACCGGAGGTTGACTAAACCTCTGACTCTTCAGGATTGGTCAGTTCGGCGAACAGAGACAGAGTTTTTATTACCTTTCAAACTGACTCCATTACTGACCATCTAAATAAACATTAACGTCTCAACCCAGATCTCCCATTTGAGATTTAGCGTCTTAAAGTGTGTGAACATACGGACCCCAGGATAAGGGGGGGCCACTGACCTCCAGACCTCGGTCGTAAAACCCTGCTCGACCATACACTGATAAAGACTGCATTCCTTTGGTGAAAGAATACAAATGACTGATCATGACATCTTATGCATTCAGCAATGTACTAATCTGTCTAATCATGAAATTTGTGTTAAAATGAGATGTTTCCCGTTTTTCTATGTGCTTCAGAAGCCAAGTTATCTTATCTGACAGAATAAATCCTTATTCTTTAGTTCTTTAGACCAACAGCTTTTCAGACTGTTTCATGAACTTTTAAGAGTTAAATTTATTGACTATGAATCCTAAGTT